GGCAAGGAAGAGGGACTGCTGCCCCTGGTGGTCAGTGTGCACCATAGCTACCAGCCAGTTGTCTGGTCATACGGATTGCTTAGGCTTATATATATATAGATATTAAAAGGTGAAAATGCTATGGACAAAAGAGAAGATTGTAATGACAGATGTGAAATCAGAAATGCCTAGGGAATTAATAAGAAGTGCAATGAGAATTAACAAGCAATGTACTGGGTAGCTGATGGAGGACCACTTAGGTGTGCCTTCACTTGCATTTTAAATATCAATGCTGCCCTACTAGGTAGTTTAGTTAGAATACATGAGCTCTGATGTTTCAGTACCTAGGATGAAATCTCAGCTTTACCACTGGTTACAATTTAATAGAAATGTCAGAGGCTCCCTTGAGAAATGCCATTTGAATAAAACTTTGAAAGAGATGAAAGAGAACCATGTTTACACCCAGGGGAAGAAAGAATAACATGTACATATAAGACAGCTGGAACAACTCCTAGAGTGGCCCTAAGGTGTCTGCCGTATTTGGGGAAAACAAGTTGGCCAGAATGAGCTCGAAAGCCCAAGTGGCAGAAGTGGAGGTGGGAGTCCATACTTCTCCAAATGACTTCTGTCTCTCCCCATATATCTCTGAGACATATATCTGCATGCCTATATATCCATCTGACAATTTAATCCTCTTAAAGAATTTCCTTTTGTCCTAGCTGTGTCCTCAGGCCCCATGGCTTAGGTTGGTCCTCAGAGGATCAGGTGAACCCTTACTAAATGCAAAGGCTTTACTATCAGAGAACTCTACAGTCAAGCCCTGGCTTCACCACTAAGGAAACCTGCCCTTATGCAAATATTGACTCTTTCTACACCTCCATTTCCTTCTACTGAAGATTTAGAAAATCATCCTGCCTGCTAGATGAGTGTTCTGAGGATTATAGTGCTTAACTCAAAGTTAGTTCCCACATTTCAACTATTAATATCATTTTTATGGTTACTATAATTATTGTTTCCCTATCACCACCACCGCTTCATTACTTTCCTCATATTATCTCCTGCTGTTGTCATACACAGGCCATGTGCTGTATAAACTGGAATGGATGTAAATTCTACACTATGTTTTATCTGAATTCTAATTATCTTTATGCCTTACCAACTCCACAGTCTATTTATGTGAATGTTCTGTATACTTTCTCTCACCTTGAAACTTCTATAGCGCTTGGTATCTATAACCATTAATTTACACTGGTCAACTGCTAGCATCCATTGTTAGTTTTATTTCATAGTTTATAGCCCGCTTCCCCGAATGTCTTTAAGCTCCTTAAAGACAGGAAAACTACTTCTAAATGGTTATTATAAAAATGTCTTATATACAGGCTCTCCATCAATTTTATTGATTTAGTGTTTGGAAAAAAGAATATATCCCTTTTATTACAAAACAGAGTAGAGTTTGCAGTTATGGCTGGGGTCACTTTGTTATTAAAAGAACTACTGGCAGGATGTTTAAATTATGGTTATGCTTCTAATGTATACCACAAAATGTACTACTATAGTTTTGTGCATTACTTCTCATTTGGCCTGGAGAGAGAGATGGTAGTAAAGCTGTTGGGGGTGATATAAAACTTTTAAAAAAACTTGCTGGAAAACTAGAGAAAACAAAGTGGGAACCAGGACTGGAATGGCAGGAACATAGGTCTAGTTGCTAGAACTATTGTAATATAATAAAAGGCTTTCCATCACTAACACCTGCCCCAGCTGCATACAAAGCTCTAGGTTGATTGTTGGCAGACCTAAAACCCAGCTGCTGCTGTGACCACATTATTTACTAAATCTTCACTATTGGTCTGCCAATGCACATCAAATCCTGAAGCAATCTCTACATTAACAGTCTAAATTAAAAGATTAAGTAAAAGGTTATACTTTTCCCTTATATACATACTTCCAATGTATCTGGCCATGAAGAGTGCAATCATAAATATTGATGCCAGAACTGATTTAGCCTGGTCTTAGATTTGAAATGGAAAGTAGAGAAATGCAATCTTTGATAAAAACAAGGTAGACAGTTTGGGGACTCTAAGTATTAGAATACTCAGGAGTTCTTTATTATAAAATGGTTTATTAAAATTCAGCGTAAGATAATTTTTATTAAAAATTCAGCTAAAGAAAATTCATTTTAATGTTTTTGACAACTAAAATTATAATGCATCATGAGTATTTATTTTACAATTTTATTTGGCAAAATGATATGTAGTTGAGTAGTGTAATGTGTCAATTCATATTATTTTTAAATAGAGGTTAAACCTATCGAATACATCATTATTTTTGGAGCAATTAAAAAGGAATGTAAACACAATGTGGCCACATTTTGTGAACTAATGATACAATAAATTGTTAAAAAATGAACAAATTTGTCGAAACCGGTTTGGCTCAGTGGAGAGAGCGTCGGCCTGCACACTGAAAGGTCCAGGGTTCGATTCCGGTCAAGGGCATGGTTGTGGACACATCCCCAGTGGGTGGTGTGCAGGAGGCAGCTGATCGATGTCTCTCTCTCATCCATGTTTTGACTCTCTATCCCTCTCCCTTCCTCTCTGTAAAAAATTAATAAACTATATATATTTTTTTAAATGAACAAATTATTGTAGCAGAAAAACATTGGTGAAGACTTCCATTTTTTTTTCCCCCAAAGAGAATTAACAAGCAATGTATTGAATGTCTGATTTTGGATCAGTCATGTTTTCCTTCTAACATCAATTGCATTTTAAATACCACTTCTGTCCTACTGGATGACTTAGTACCTGGAATGGTACTTGTCATCCAGTACTTGTTTATTACCTTTATACAGTCAAGACCACTTCATGTCCTAGTAAAACAGACATGATAATAACAGTAATTAATTGTGGCTTATTGTGAGTATTCATGAGTTTATATTTTATACCTAAGGGGTTCATATAAAAATATTGCGAAGATTAAATAAACATAAGAATTATGCCATGAATTAGTTAGCATACAATTTCACAAATTTGTATGTAGGCTTTAAGAATTTCATATACCTTATAGATTCTTGGAAAGAATTTAAGACAAAAGATTCTAAACAACAGGCACATAATAATGGGATCAATTTGTAATCCAAGGCCAGGGCAAGAATTGTGAAGATTCAGCAGAATTGGAAAGAGACTCAGAAAAATTCCAAATGTTTTTACTATTCAGAATAGGTAAAACAAGTGAGGAACACTAATCAGGCCTTTGATTAATCTACATTTCTTTTCTAGGAAAATAGATTTAACTTAAGGAATCAGATTCTCAGTATATTTTTTGTCTAAGATAAGGAAGGAGCTATAACTCATCATTTTAACACCTGTTTTTACCAGTTGATAATTTATTTTTCCTCCAAGCAAATCAGTTTGTGTGAGTGTTTTTGTGTGTGTGTAGGTATGTTTTGTATACTCTTGTTTCCATTAAAATAATTAGAGGTGGCAAGTTCTGGGGGTTTTTTTGTTTGTTTGTTTGTTTTTTCCTACTTGAATTTATTAAGGTGACATTGGTTGACAAAATCATTTAGGCTTCAAGTCTACAACTCAACAAAACACCATCTGCACACCACATTGTGCACCCAGTGTCCCAAGCAAAGTTTCTTTCTGTCCCCATTCCCCCCATTTTGCCCACCTCTACCCCATCCCCTTTCCCTATGAATAATACCACATGGTTGTCTGCGCCTGTTATAATGTGTGTGTTTGCTTAACCCCTTCACTTTCATTCACCCAGGCCCCCATTTTCCCCATCCTCTGTTTCTATTTCATCATCAGCTTATTTTTTCATTAGTTTCCATATTAAAGTGAGATCATATATTTTCCTTTCTCTGATATTCTTATTTCACTTAGAATAATAATCACTAGGTTTATTTACACATCTTACCCTTTGCACAAAATCCATGATTTTGTGCAAAATATATGAAATTATTTTTCTTCCTTTTTTTTTCCTACTTGAATTTATTAAGTTCAAGTAGGAACCCATTTTTCTTCCTTTCAAATCTTCTCCATTGTTTGTAAATCATTTTCATCCATGATTTTGTGCAAAGGGTAACATATCCTTCACTTTTTAATGGCTGAGTGGTATTCCATTGGGTTAATGTACCAATTTACCACAGCTTCCCCCCCCCCCATTTTTTAATTGATTAAAGTATTAGATATGTCTCCTTTTTCCCGATTGAACCCCTGCCACTTTACCCCCTAAGATAAGCCCCCACCACCCCAGTGTCTGTGTCCATTGGTTATACTAATATGCATGCAAACAAGTCCTTTAGTTAACCTCCTATCCCCCCACCCAGAACCACCCCTGCATGCCTTCTGCCTGAAGGTAGATGGTCTGATCAGTGTTTCTTAGTCTCTAGATCTATATTTGTTCATCAGTTTATGTTATTGATTATATCCCACATATGAGTGAGATCATGTAATATTTATCTTTCTCCACCTGGGTTTAGAAGCTCATAAATACACAACACCGTCCTGATCCCACCAAATGCAGAATGTTGTCTTCTTTCCAAAGAGATTTGGTATTGCAGTTGATGTTGATGGTTGACTTGGACTAATCCATGATTTTGTACATTTGGGAATCTCAAAATAAATACATTTTTCATTGCCAGTTCCAATTCAATGCAAAAAAGACTTTCCTGCCTTTGAAGCAACATTTTACTGATGATTTTTTTGGTTTTCCATTTGTTTTCTGTTCAGTTGATGGGGCACCCATTTTTCTTCCTTTCAAATCTTCCCCATTGTTTGTAAATGATTGGAAATTGTTTGCTGAACCACGTTTAATCTTTGTGCAAGTTTGACATGAATTTTCATCCAATAATGTTTGTAATTGTTGGTATTCAAACTTTTCGGTTAACCTGAACATTCTTTGTCTTCTACATCAAACTCATCACTTTTAAAGTGTTTAAATCAACATTCACAAGTATTTTGAGATGGAGCATGTTTTCATATGTCTCTTCACCATAAGCTACCCAAAGTATTCAACAGCACTTTTCTTCAAAATAAATGAATTATAATTTCCCACAACTGCTTTTTTTGGCATGAAATTCGACATTTATAAGTATAAAATATCTATGATGTTAACACCATCAGCAAATTTGACACATCAAGTTTTGAAGCTTGCTGTAAATACAACAAAATATCAAAACACATATGTATCAACATATTTGTAATTACATCTATTGAAAAAAATACATATTATTAACCAGTACACCTACGTAATAAATTGTGCTTCTATGAACATAGGGGTGCATATGTCCTTTCTAATTGGTATTTCTGGTTTCTTGGGATATGTTACCAGAAGTGGAATTACTGGATCAAGTGGGAGTTCCATTTTTATTTTTTCAGGAATCTCCATACTGTTCTCCACAGTGGCTGCACCAGACTGCACTACCACCAGCAGTGCATACCGTATTTTTCGGACCATAAGACGCACTTTTTTTCCCCCAGAAGTGGGGGGAAAAAGTCCCTGCGTCTTATGGTCCAAATATAGCCTACACATATACTTTAAAAAAAAATTTTTTTTTACTTGCCCGGCTCTGTGTGGTCTCTGTGTGCTTGCCCTGCTCTAAAATGGTTCTAAATGCTGCTGTTTACTTTACAGGGTTGATTACATGTGTTTATGACCGTGATGTTGGGTTTTAATGCACATAAAATATTTTAGGACACTATTTGTTTCAGAATCTTTTTTTCTTCATTTCCCTTCTCTAAAAACTGGTGTGTCTTATGGTCTGGTGCGTCTTATGGTCCGAAAAATACGATAAGTGTTCCTTTTTCTCCACATCCTCTCCAGCACTTGTTGTTTGTTGATTTGTGGATGAGAGTCATTCTAACAGGTACAAGATGGAACCTCATTGTTGTTTTGATTTGCATCTCTTGGATAATTAGTGACTTAGAACACGTTTTCATATGTCTCTTAACCTTCTGTATGGCCTCTTTCAAAAACTCTATTTACGTCTTTTGCCCATTTTTTTTTTTTATTGGATTGTTTATCTTCCTTTTGCTAAGTTGTATGAGTTCTCTGTAAATTTTGGAGATTAGGCCCTTATCAAATGTAACATTGGCAAATATGTGCTCTCATGCAGTGGGTTTTTATTTATTAAGTTCTATTATTTTTTGATGGAGTCTTTAGGGTTTTCTATGTACAATATCATGTCAAATGCAAATAATGACAGTTTTACTTCTTTTCCAATTTGGATGGCTTTTATTTCTTCTTCTTGTCTGATCACTATAGCTAGCACTTCCAGTGCATCTAACTTTGTTCTTTCTTAAGATGGCTGAAAATATTCAGGGTCTTTGCAGTTCCAAATATTTTGGAATATTTTTTCTAGATCTGTGAGATATGCCATTTGTATTTTAGTAGCAATTATGTTGAATTTGTAGATTGCTTTGGGTACTATGAACATTTTAATGATGTTATGTTTTCCTAGCCACAAACATAGTATATGGTTCCACTTTTTTGTATCTTCCTCAATGTTTTTTAAAGTATTTTACAATTTTCTGAGTATAGGACTTTTACCTCCTTGGTTAAATTTACTTCTAGCTACTTTATTTTTTGTTGTTGTTGAAATAGTGAATTGGATTATTTTTTTAGTTTCCTTTTCTGACAGTTAATTATTGATGTATAAAAATGCCACCGATTTCTGAATATTAATTTTGTATTCTGCCATTTTGCTGAGTTTATTAGATCTAGTAGATTTTGATGGAATCTTTAAATATTCTATGTACAATATCATGTCATCTGCTGTTAATGCTAGTTTTACTTCCTCTTTTTCAATTTGGATGCCATTTATTTCTTCTAATTGTCTGATTTCTGTGGCTAGTACTTCCACTATTATGTAGAATAAGAATGGTGAAAGCAGACATCCCTTTCTTCTTCTTGACAGTAAAGGAAATGCTTTTAGTTTTTGCCCATTGAATATAATGTTGGGTATGGGTTTGTCATATATGACCTTTATTATGTTAAAGTATGATTCCTCTATTCCCAATGTTCTCAGAGTTTTTATTATAAATGGGTGCTGGATTTTGTCAAATACTTTTCAGCATTTATTGATATGATTGTATAGTTTTTATCCTTCATTTTATTTATTTGATGTATCCCACTTATTAATTATGAATACTGTACTAACCTTGCATCCCTGGAATAAATTCTATGTAATCATGGTGTATGATCTTTTTAATATATTGCTGGATCCCGTTAGCTAATATTTTGTTGAGGATTTTCACATCTATATTTATTAGGGATATTGACCTATATAGATAATTTATATTCTTTGTAGTATCTTTATCTGGTTTTGGAATTAAGGTAATGCTGTCCTCTTAAAAACTTGGGAGTCTGTCCTACTCTTGAATTTTTTAGAATAGTTTGGGAAGGATAGGTGTTAGTTCTTTGAAAGTTTGGTAAAATACCCTGTGAAGCCATTTGATCCAGGACTTTGGTGTGCTGGGAGTTTGTTTGTTGTTGTTTGTTTGTTTGTTTGTTTGTTTATTACTGCTTTGATTTCATTAGCTATAATTGGACTATTCAGATTATCTGATTCTTCCTGATTCAGTTATAGAAGATTGTATGTTTTTAGAAATTTATCCACTTCACACAGGTTGACCAATTTGTTAGCATATAGTTGTTCATAGTATTTTCTTTAAATCCTTTGTATTTCTGTGGTGCCAGTTGTTGCTCTCCTCTTTCATTTCTGATTTTACTTACTTGGGTCCTCGTTTTTTTATTAGTCTAGTTTAAGGTTCATCAATCTTTTAAAAGAACCAGCTCCTGGTTTCACTGATCTTTTGTAGTTTTTTTTTTTTTTTTTCATCTATTATTTATTTCCTCTCTAATCTTTATTATTTCCTTCATTCTACTTACTCTGTGCTTTATTTTTTGTTCCATTTTCTAGTTCTTTTAGGTACAGGGTTAGATTGTGTGAGATTTTTCTTGCTTCTTGAAGTAGGCCTATACTGCCATGAACTTCCCTCTCAGGATTGCTTTTGCCATGTCTAATAGGTTATAGTTATGTTTTCATTTTCATTTCTCTCTAGGTAACTTTTGATTTCTTCTTTGATCTTATTGCTGTTTATTCCCTGATTAATTTTTAATACATTTTTTAAAAGTTTTTCAAAGTAAAAGTTTCAGGAAAGTTGCAGCATTTCCATATAATCTTTACATAGTTTTATAAATTATTAGCATTTTGTCACATTTGTATAATTGCTGCCTCTCAAAATATATAAATATACGCGCCCCCGCCCCCCCCCCCCCCCCCAGTTCTAAAATGCTTTATTTATGATGCTATAGTCGCCTAGAAGAGACCACAATCCTCCTACAAACATTAAGCCTGGATCTCAGGTATCATCTATGGCTTAATCTCAGTGACATCTTTCTGTCTGGGAACACAGAGCTCAAGAAGAATGCTATTTCCCTCCAATTTCCTGTTCAAGGTTGAATTCCCTGTTATAAGTTAACAAGTGGATTTTTAAATATTTTATATACTTTCATTAAATTTTATTTTTCAAACTATAGAAACAAACCAAAAGTAAATGATAGTGAATCACATGCCTTGCATGAAACTAAGCATTTCCATTGAGCACTGTGGCTCATTAAAAAACACAAACTCCTTAAATAAGTCAGACTTTCTTTTAACCTTTATTGTTGAGAGTATTACAGATGTCCACCCTTCATCACCCCATGGTTTTTATTCATGGGCAATGTATATGTGCATATGAGCTCTTTGATTCATCTCTTCTTGCTTCCCCTTTCCTCCTTCCCTCTGGGATTTGTCAGTTTGTCCCAGAAATGAACCCACACCATTATGCTCAATTAATATTTTACAAAGGAGGCAAGAACATAAAATAAAGATAGTTTCTTCAATAAATGGTGTTGGAAAAATTAGATAGGTACATCCAAAAAAAAAAAAAGAAACTTGACCACCAAATTATTCAATACACAAAAATAAACTGAAGTGGATAAAAGACTTAAATGTTAGCTGTGAAACCATAAAAGTCCTAGTAAAAAGTAGACAGAAAAATATCAGACATATCACATAGCAGAAATTTTCGCAGATACATCAACCATGGCTTGCAAGTCACATGCGGCTCTTTGGCCCCTTGAGTGTGGCTCTTCCACAAAATACCAAGGCCTGGGCAAGTCTATTTTGAAGAAGTGGCATTAGAAGATGTTTAAATTTAAAAATTTTGGCTCTCAAAAGAAATTTCAATAGTTGTACTATTGATATTTAGCTCTCCTGACTAATTAGTTTTCCGACTACTGGCCTGGGACAAGAGAAATAAAGGAAACAATAAACAAATGGGACTATATCAAACTAAGAAGCTTTACAGCTAAAGAAACCAACATCAAAATGAAAATGAATCCCACTGTATGAGAAAACTATTTGCAGGTAGGTGTGGGTGCCAGCCATTTTCCCACCTCCTCACTTTTAAACATTCTCTATGTGGCTTCCTCTGTGAGTCCTTGGTTGTATTTCAGTTCAGCTAGCCTTCAGTTGGTTATTTAGATTGATTGCTCTATAATTTAGCTGTAAGTGCAGTTTGGCACTGGGAGCAGGTGAGTACAACTTCTACCTACTTTGGGAATCTGATACCAGTGTCCTTTTGATATAAAATCATATGTATATTTTAAACTCTCAAACACATTATAATTTGAAAAATAAATACTAAGTTAGGTGAGGTGTTTTTGTTTTGTTTTGTTTTTCAGAAACCAGGAAGTTTCAGGATTAAACAAATGTGGTTTATTTAGAAGTAAACTCTTTGATCATTGTATGGGAGAGAATGGATTTGGGGAAATAAGGCAACAACAATAATGACTACAACAGTGTAAGAGTCTCATTTTAGAAGTGAATTAGAAATTTTAATTATCTGGACTTAAAAGCAGAAGAACAATACATACAATGTGAGAAGTAATTCTAGCATAATAACAGTGCTGTGCACAGGCCTGGACTCACTAAGTTAAAAAGACCTTGGAAAACTCAAAGAAGGTTTAAGGACAAGCAATAAACATGATTAATAGCTTGGAAAATAGAATCTCAGAGGAAAGGTTAAGGGAACTAATATTATTTAAGTTGGAAAATAGGCTGGGGAAACAAGTTGGTTTTCAATTACATGAAGGATTATTACATAGAAGGTGCTGATCGGTACTCTAATGCCACAGAGGGCAGAA